TATTTGAAAAGTGTCCTGCGATAACCTCTGTTATGATGTGGTACTAAAAATGCATTTAAACATTGTTATCAAGAAAAACTGACAATATAAATGAACATAAATAGTGTTAGTGTTCTCACCCATACATTTATTCATTTTTTGTAAAATAATTGAAAGTGTATGCACTCACATGACATTTGTAGGTCCCTTACCTCCTCTTTACTCAGTCTTATTTGTCTTGGCTGGTGACCTAATAATGTTTCTGCCAGTGTCAGCAGGTAGTTGGATTAGTCTGGGCCAATCAGTGCACTGTGTGGTCTCTACCAAGGAGATGCAGGTCCCTGGATTAGCAGTTGTATCCCTCTCTCATCCTTTCTTTATGTTTCTCATTGGGGCAGTGGTCACTCTAAGAAGAACTGCGCTCGCGTTCTCGTCACTGTCCCCCTGCTCTCACCCAGAATGTTCCCTACATAACATCCTCTCTCTTTTAAAACGTGACTTGTAATGGCAAGGCAGAACAGTGGATCTCACTGTCACAGCTGAGGACAGATTGAAGAGGATCAAAAGAGAGGACACATTTTTGTTGGGGATCGTAGGAATTGAACAGCAACAGACATCTCAACTTCTTGGTTAAATTCAGTTGGATCAGTGAAACATTCCCTCTGTAGACTTTTAAATCCACATTTTTTTTTTGTTGAGAAATACAATTGTAACTGGAATCGCTTTTTCTTGGAATTTTCTACAATTCCCTCCAGATTGGCTTTGCTATGGGAGAGTTCACCATTCAGTTTTTGGAACGTTCTCGAGGACTTGAAAAGCAGATGTGATTCTTGGCAGGTCTGCGACTCTGGATTGTGTCCAGGTTTGCTGCATTCTTATGGAGTAATTCAATGGACAGTATGGACTTGGAAACTGGAAATTTCATCTCAGCTGGCTATATCAGCTAGCTGAAATCGCTAAAGGTCTCACCATTGCGTCATCAGTGATAGAGTAAAACAGTTGCTTATTCCTCGACTTTTTCAACACAGCCAGTCTTGTTAAACTTTGACCTCATGGCATCTGAGCCTTGCCCTTTGACTGGAGCTGAGAGAGCGATGTGTAGACTGGTCCACCATGGACCCCGACCTCAAGCTATGCTAAGGCCTTTACACTTGGAGCTACAGGTGTATGTGGACAAAACACGAACCAAGCAAAAACACAGGTACTGCTAAAATCACTGAAAAGGGTTGATTTTGTGGTCATTTTGTTGCTTGGCAGGCAAGGCTTTACATTCATCAGGGAAAGTTGAGAAAATTTTGACCAGAAGATCACATTGGTAATAAAAATTGCAGTTAATTGCCAGTCACAATAAATCCTTTTGGCATTTTCACCATGACTACAAAAGGGCTATCAATTAACCTCGTAAAGTGCCTAATTAAATTTGAGAAGACCAACATTACAAGGAATTAAAGTAGTGGTTGTAGCGCAAGTGAAATGATGGAAACGTGGGTCCCTAACATGGCAATATGAAGAAAAGGGGAACAGGTAAATTAAATAAATAAATAAATAAATAAATAAATAAATAAGCTGGGGCTTTGACCAGAAATAGAGAATAAATAACCCAGATATACTTTAAGGGAGAGAAAGAATGTGAAGACGTGGAGGATGTGAAGTATTTCTTCAATGCGCTCCTGAAACACTCTTCTAATCCTGCAGGTGAAACTAAATATGGTACAACTCTTTGCTATACATTTGGATATTGCCATTTGTAAAACAGATTAAATGCAAAGATTATCCTTGCTTAACTCTACATTCTAGTACCTTATCTGGAATTTAGAGCTGCAACCAAATCGGCTAGTCTTTAGTTTATCCTGGATTATACAATGAATCTGGGATGTATGCAGTACTTTCTGGAAAGACCTCACTGATGAGGCCTTTTTGTGCCTCTTATGGTCGGTCATAAGACACACGCTTCTGGCTTGATACATCAATATTTTGATCATTATTTTGTCTATTGATAGTCCTCCAGACATAACACATGGTTTCTGATTTATTTTGAACAAAGATCTCAGAAAAAGTATATGTAAGAGTTCTGTACACAGCAGCGTATAACAGTAAAATTATTACTTTTCAAATTGTTAAAATGGGTTCTGCCAAATACCTTCGTATTGAAATGTCCCCTTAAAGACAAAGAAGATGTCAGTAGGCACAAAGATAATATTTCTTCTACAATTCCTGAGTCAGCGTCATTGATGGAGTAGTTGCCATGGTAACCATTGCATTGTAGAAGGGATAGGAAGACTTCTCTTGACTTAGCTTTTGTTATTTATGGAACATGTTGCTTCTATTATATTTCAGCTTAGCAATGCACGGCAACAGAAAAACACTTGGATCATCCCTTGCTGACACAGGAATGACCAGCATCATTGATTTGCAGATTTCCCCATGTTCCCATAGACTATGAAAAATATCAGTTACTGAATTACTCATACTCGTTTTTTCATATAAATCATGACTATACGCAAAATATAAAGTTGAAAGGCAGGCAGCTTTATCCGCTTGATTATAGCAACCGGTAATGCAAGAGAACTATATGACTATAAATCAGACAAAACAGGCTGATATGTGCAGTAATAAGCGAGAAGTGCAACACCTTTTCAAGGTGCTCATCTTAGAGGCTTGGACTCAGTTGCTAAGGCAACAGTGCACAGATATGGCTACAGATCTTGTTGTCATGGTGATACTGGCAATTCATTCCCCACCATGAGAAGATGTTGCACTGCCACTCTAATAAGTATCCATGTTACTGTAGATCGTTGCTATGTAGTGCTCATATGTTAATACTGTTTTCTGTCTTTCCCTTTGTGTATGTGTAAACCTGTGTGTGCACCATTTAGGATGGAGGCCTCTTGCTTGGAGTTAGCCTTGGAAGGAGAGCGGCTGTGCAAGGCGGGGGACTTTAAAGGGGGAACAGCATTTTTTGAGGCAGCCGTGCAAGTCGGCACAGAAGACCTGAAGACCCTCAGTGCCATCTACAGCCAGCTGGGAAATGCCTACTTTTACCTCAAGGAGTACGGCAAAGCCCTGGAATACCACAAACATGATCTTACTTTGGCCAGGTATGCATTGTACCTTTTTTAATAGCTGCAACCAACTGCATAGTAAAAGTTGGTTTGAAGTTGCCACTAGGTATTTTGGAACTGTTTTAGGAACTTAGGTACTGAAATAAATGATTAAAGACCACCAGGGATTTCATTATATTAACAATGCGTCAGACAATGAAAATCCCAAGAAAAAGTGAGGGGACTTTCATATAGTAGCAGTCGACTACCGCCAGCAGGATATTTAGCTTATATGAGTAATCTGGTCCCCTGCAGTGAGTGCAGCTGGTGCTTCAGAAGGGAAGTGATCAAAGACCCCAGGGAGATTTACCTTGTTACATTACAGTCTCACCAGGGCCACTGGGACCTGGTCCCAGGAAGTAAGCATCCAATTAAAAATGTACTATACAGCATCTCCCAATTAAATCTTGTTATAGTACTAAAAAAGTGATTGCTCAACTAACATTGACATAGAAAAACTAGTCTTTGCTCCCACCACTGAACACCAGAAATGTGTTTCTTTGCTTTCTCAGAACAATAGGTGACAGAATTGGAGAAGGAAAAGCCAGTGGCAACCTTGGTAACACATTAAAAGTGTTGGGGCGCTTTGATGAAGCTGTTGTGTGCTGTCAAAGACATCTGGATATTTCTCAAGAGCAGGGCGACAAGGTAACAAGCATGTTTTTTATTTATAGCATCTCCCTAAAAGACCTCAAAAACTACAATATATTGTATTGTTTATTTTCTCCTTTGACCACATGAAACCTTTCCTACAAAATCTTTTTAAATGTAAAATTTGAAACATCTTAGATGTATACATTGTATTTTTATACCTCCAGTTTTTTTCTGAGCATCATGAGATGTTGCACAAATTAAATGCTTGAGCACATTACTGAAGGCATATGTGGATGTCCAGATGCACACATGCACACAATCTTCTGGCGAGAAAAAAAATAAATCAACCGAATAAAAATACACAGATATCTTGATATCTCCAGAGAGATCTTTTTGCATCATTTTTCACTCTTTTCTTAACCTCTCTTTTCTGTGTCTCTTTATTGTATTGTTAGGTTGGAGAGGCCAGAGCACTGTATAACGTAGGAAATGTGTTTCATGCGAAGGGCAAACAGCAGTTATGGGGCTGCACCCAGGAACCAGGGGACCTACCCCCTGATGTTAGAGACACACTGCAAAGGGCCACTGGCTTTTATGAGTATGTATTCTTGAACATGAACGCACACAACAGATGGATGTTTACAACAGAAAACCAAAATCACTGTCAAGAAAAGTCAAGAAAAAAAACAGCATTTTGTGGTGTCACAATGGATTTAATGCTCCACAAACTCCACAATATTGATACAGTTAAAATATTTTGCTTTTCCAAAATTGCATACAGAAATTTTTGAGACAAGTTTGAGACAACTCTGGCAGTTATTACCCCTTCGGCTATTCATGAATACGTCTGTGTCTTCGTGGCACATCTGGATTGCTGTTATTTTTACCTGCAGATTTGGAGAGCATCTGTGGAGAGAGAAAAAGCTAACTTTAAAACAGTACACATATTTTCCACTGATATTTCAATCTTGGCTTTAGCTGCATTGTTTGTTCATTTCACCATTCTTGTCAAGAAGCAGTCCAGACTTGATTTGGCTGTGTGTTTGATCAAAACTAACTGCCCTAAGATCTTTCCTACACTTAAACAGAAGTCCATTTACTCAAATTTGCCACTATTAATTTATTCTCACAACCCCCCTCATTGCTTAATTCTTAAAAACACCCCCACAGAATCCTACCACTGTCTTACTTTACAACTGGGATGCTGCCAGAATTGCTGATAAGTGGTGTCAGTTTTCAGCAGAATCTTACTTTGCACTGCTGCTGATGATTTCTATTTATTTTCACCAGACCAAAAAATGTGGATTTAATCAACTTGCGGCTCTCAGTGTTTAATATACCCAGCTTTGTGAAATGCCACACTGACTGCTTTTCTTTTGACAAGATCTTGTCTTAACTTAAGAGCTCTGCAGTTTTGTCAGATTTGTCCTTGGGTTGCTTGTTTTGACTGGACTGAACAGCTTTTTGAAATAGATATGTTCAGTCAAGTCCAATTTTTTTTATATAACCCAAAACCACAGATTACAATAAGCCTCAAGGGGCTTTACAATATGTACAGCATACAATATCCTTAGATCATTAATTCAGATAAGGGAAAACTCTCTAAAAAAAACCCTTTCCCAGGACAGACAGATACAGTAGATACAGATAGTCTGCTTTCAGACACAGTAATGTGTTTATGATATGTTTTTTTCTATATATATACATATATATACTAAGAATGGATCTTAATGTATTTTACCAACTGCTACTAAACTGGTGTGTACTTATCTCTGTAGGATGAACTTGTGCTTGGTCAAAGAACTTGGAGACCGAGCTGCTCAGGGGAGGGCCTATGGCAACCTTGGCAACACCCACTATCTGCTGGGAAACTTTGTTGAAGCTATCAAGTTCCACCGTCAGGTGAGAAATTTAAGATGATTACCAGTATACTATTAATGCAACTAGGGCATAGATAAGAGTTATCAGGCTTGATGTTGTGCCAAAGCAGAACAGTGACCTTGCCTCTCCAGAGCAATGGCCAAACTTTGCTTCTGACATATAAGGTCGTTCACACTAACTTTATGGCTCACCGTGATATCGCACTGGAATGCACTTGATGAGAGTGGAAATACAAATCAAGAGACATTTTGCAGTTTCTTTATCAAAAAATAAATCCAATTCTTTTTAGATCAGGTCTCACAAATACTGTGACCATACACCTGAACATAACTTCCTGTTTTATGTACAGTATGTTTGGTTTGCCTTACCCATCCATTAACATACACATTAAAAAGTTTGGGGGTGTTTTAGTGGCTTGTGCACATGCTGTATGGCCATGACTTCCTAGCCAGGAATCTTTGAGTGTCCTTCCTGAAGCCACAGTGCCACATCATAAATTTGCAAGTTTTCGTCATCCATGCATTTGCTTCTTGCCGGAAAAAGATCCTTCCCAGTTTGCCTTGCACAAACTTTAGTCTAACCAACATGCAAAATAGCAGGACTCACCAATGCTCAGCCAGTTTGAGAGTGAAGGGGGGACTGACTTCTCATTCAGAAATGTTTTACTTTGGTCATTACATTGTGCCTGTTTTTATATAATTACAGTCTGATAAAATACAACTACAGAGTACAAGAGATGGCATACGTGGCATTGCATGCAAGGACAGGGATAGGTGTTGTACCAGCACACAGTGTGCAGAGATTGATGGCCTCTCTTAGAACGAAAAATGAAGGAAATTGGTTTCTTGGTGAATCACAGGCAAGCATGGCTTCAGGCTCTCTCTCCCCATGTTTCCTGTCACTCTATATTGTAAACTGCTTGTTTTCTCATGGGAGAAGCCGATCTCTTCTCTTTTCCATCACAAATCTATCAGTGCGCCATGTAGGGTAGCCTGCTGCTTTTAAAGGGAATCAGAAGGGCTGATTTGATGCACCACTGGTGCAGCAGCACATCTTTTCATGGAGTCATGTGTCCAACAGAGCTTGCAACTTGAACCAGCTGTTATTTCCTGTGCTCTAGTCCCTGAGTCAAAAAAAATAAAAACAAAGAGTAGGGCAAAGTAAGGTAAAATGACACGAAAAGTTAATATGATTGAAAATATTTTGTTAATTTGGTTTAATTTGACCTTGTCTTTCACAGCGATTATCAATAGCCAAAGAATTTGGAGACAAAGCGGCAGAACGGCGAGCCTACAGTAACCTAGGCAATGCCCTGATATTCCTGGGCCAATTCAACACAGCCACGGAGTACTACAGGTGAGGAAAGAGGGGAGTCTGACATCTAGTGGAGAGAAGGTGAAGTGAACCAATTCCTGCAAAAATGAAGATGTCACTGAAGTAAAAATTGAATATGAAAATATTGATGCAGGATCTGATGCATGACACAAGAAAATGCTGCAAGACTATTTTTCCTTTTCTCTTTTACCTCCAGTCTCGTTTATTCATCTGTTTATTCATCTGTAAACTCACTCACCTCTCTCTTTCTTCCTTTGTTATCTACATATTCAATGTTTTTTTCACTCACTTCGTCCCCCGTTTCTTTTCCTACAGGAAAACTTTGCAACTATCCAGGCAGCTGAGGGACCAGGTGATGGAGGCTCAGGCCTGTTACAGCCTTGGAAACACCTACACTCTTTTGCAGCAGTATGAGCGGGCCATAGACTACCACCTGAAACACCTGTACATAGCCCAGGAGCTCACTGATAGGTAGAATGGGCATGAGCAACATCTAATGCAAACAGCCAAACATGCGGGAGTACAGGGACAGTTTTTAACCTTTGTCTGTATGTTCATGTCTCATTAGAGTTGGTGAGGGCCGTGCCTGCTGGAGTCTGGGAAATGCATACGTGTCTTTAGGGAACCACAAACAAGCTCTCCACTATGCTAGAAAGCACCTGGACATCTCAAAAGAAGTGAGACAGTAATTCTGAAAGAAACGCACCTTTGGTTAAGTCGAGGCTTCTTGCATTCGACCTATTTTGACCCGCTCTGTCCCTGCCGCTTCATTCTCATCCTCAGATTGGAGACAGAAATGGGGAACTGACAGCGAGAATGAATGTGGAGCAGCTGATGGAGGTTCTGGGGGTCAGTGAGAGCGACCTTTCACCCTCCAGTTCAGAGTTTGAGATGCAAGGTGAGAGTAAAAGTTATTTTCAGTTTTTTATATAATAATATGATATAATATGATATAACATGTCAATTGTGTGTGAACTTTAGAGCTCTAATTTACTTTATGTGTGTCATAACTTGTTATAGTTGAGATAATGTGACAAGCAGACAATGTTGGCATTCATTTAGGCAATTACACATGTCAGTGAAAATGTAAGATACATAAAAGCTTTTACTGCATATTGTGAAGAGGTTTTTTAACTGTAAAATTACTTTTTACTAAATCTCAGATATATTTGTTATCATTTGAAAGAAATGTGAGCAGGAGCTTAGAATTACACCTGGAAAACATGCAGTATGCTTAATCAGTGTATAAGTACATATACAGTAATATTTTAGTTTGTATGTAACACTTTAAGCTGGTGTCAAAGGTCCGCTTTTACTTTAAATTGAATTCTGTAATGACATTCATGTTTGCATCTCTTTTTATGATTCATTCTGCTGTAGATTTTGCATAATAGCGAATGTTTTAAGCCATATACAGTCATTGGTGTTACAAACAAACAAACAAACAAACAAAGAGAAGAATTTTATGGCGCCTTCGCTGACTGTGGAATGAAATAGCGACTCAATGAACTAAAGACTTTAGTTGACTTTGGTCCATTGTTGTCTTCTCCACCACTTATGTAACCTAATTTCTTTAACGTTGTGTAAGCAAGTTACTCCGTTTCCTTAGTCATGGCAAGGGAAAGGGTGCGGCAGATGTGTGTGTGCTTGCATTTGTGTGTGTGTTTTGAATGTGAATTTAAACCAGAGACCTGACTGTTTGCACAAGCTGTGGTTAGGAGAAGCTGTCTTGGAGCTGTACTTGCTCTCTCATCTCACAAAAATGAGTACAGAAAATAACAGCCATAGAGCTTTGGGGAACTGCTTACTATATGTCAGTGGTTTTAAATGTAGAAACCTATCTGAGGTGTTTTGCAGATGTGTCGCCTTAAAACTACAGATAACTGACTTTGAAATATTTTTTAATCGTTTGTAGATTCTGCTATTTTAACTTCAATGTTTGACAAAAATAATGTGTGTGGGCTTGATCAAGCTAACTGAAATACTGTATGTGTACACAAGGTGGCCATTTAAATGTAAAACTAACTTAAGATGAGACAGACGTATCAGACTGTCTGTGTTATGTCTGAACTGAGGCTAAATGTGAGAGAAAGCAAAAAAAAGGGTGTGTATATTTTTGGGGTAAGATGGGGATTCTTGTCTTTAACCCCAGTCTGAGGAAAATAGTTTGTTTCTAAAGCACATTCTGTTTTCCTCAAATAATACAATTGATTACTATTATAGAGTATTGGGAGCATTTAGCACATATAAAATGAACCATGGAGAAAGTACAATTTCTATCAGTACAGTCAGTCTGGCTTTAGTGTGATGTTTGCGTTCATGAACCCTCCTCTGGGCAGAAACTCACACCCATGTCCTACATTTCCCTCTCTGGTGCAGAGCTGGCAAACAGACTCTTATTCAGTTTGTTTGCTCGGTTGTCTGCCTGAACCACAAATCCGCACCAAACATCATGGGACCAATGCTGACAAGACGGGCTGCTGCAGGGACAAGACAAAGATCGCCTTGCATGCTTGATTTTAATTTTAGACTAAACTGTTTGAGAGTTTCTACAGTTGTCAGATATTTAATGTTATGAAGTAACATTTATTTACTTATGTGTTTTTTTTTTCCGTAGGAGCAAGACCCAAATTCACCAAAAGAAACAGCATGGACAGTGTAGAACTGTGGAAGTACTCAGATAAGGTGATTTCTCCTTCTCGCATTTCAGTACAATGCTCCAGAGAGAAAGGTGCCTGTAAATGTGAGCTACACACCTCTGCCCAAAGAGTTATCAATCCCACTCTAACAGTGTGTTCTTTAACTGCAGAATGGTGAGAACCAAGACTTGGAAAGTATACCCAGGAGATCCAAGAGTCAGCTGTCACAGCCAGGTAAAAGAAAAGGCTATCCTGACAGTCAGTCATCGGATGAAAGGCCATGGTTGGACTCTCCTGTAGACACCGATGACATCACTGTGCAAGTTCCGCCTCCAGTACCAGTGAGTAGCTGTAGCTTTATTTTCTTGTTAGGTCCTCCGACCCAGTCATGTTCCTTATGTGGTGCTTAGCAAAAACTTTCCCCTGGAGAGAGGCAGGCTAACTATTTCCCCTTGTTTTGCAGTCTTTATGGTAAGCTAAGCTACCTGGTTGGTGGAAGTTCCTTCATATTTACCATACAGATATGAGAGTGGTATCAATCTTCTCATCTAACTTACGACAGCAAAGCATATTTCCCAAAATGTTGAACTATCCCTTTAATTCAAATTTTCCTCAGTTTCCAGACTTAGTAATTGCAGCTTTAGTTGATAAAAAGCCTAAGGATAAAGAATTAAATCTAGGTATTATCCTCTTTGCTGACAACAGATGAAACTCAGAGTATTAAGCAGCCCACCAAAATGCATAATATCAGCCCTTAGTTCACATTCCTGCAAAGTAAGATATGCCCAGCTTTTAATTCAATCACTAAGAGCCCACCTGAGAAAAGATGGGTATAATTTTTCTCATAGAAAGCATCAAGAGGACCCGAAATGCTGACTGCTGTATTCACTTAACTACTTTTTCCATTTTAGTCTGTTCACCCCGTCCAAAATGTCTTCAGGGCTTTTGCTTTAAAGAGAAAATGAAAGGAATTGGAGATTAAATTGGGAACATTTCTCTTAATTTCCCATGAGGTTATACAGTGTGATGTAAAAAGTCAGATACAGTGTAAAGGTGTCTTCTCATTAAATACCAACAGTGCTCCATTTGCCGTGAACTAGATTCTTAATGAATATGCTGTTTTGCAGCTGTTGTATCCCTAGAATCCTGTCTCCCCACAGCAGCTAATCATGCTGTGTTTCTGTGACAATGCTAATTGTTGTAATCAGCAAGCTGACATGTTCAAAAAACGTGAAAATTACTGGGCTGCATGATGATACTTCATCACAAGGGCCTAGAAATAGCATCTAGAGTTAAATGCTGGTAATCCTGATGACATTGAAGCATACGCTTTCTCAAGTCTGCCAAGACAGTTGTGTGGCTGAACTTGCCACTTTTTCCTAAAGCTAGAAATCACAGAGAAAGCCACCATGTGATATCAGCAGGGGCAGTTTTAGTTAGTTATCAGAATAAAGATTCCATTCTAGCATTGTTATTTCTTATGAAACAGTTGAATAAACAACCTACAAACTTGTTATTGGTCAACATCTACTTCAACACAATCTTAAGAAATTCTATTTTCTGATTTTATAGATTTATAGATTGAGTATTGATTGAACTATCCTGGGGCTGTATATCGTTGACAAACTGTTTTTAACTCTAGGTCCACTGACTCACTTGTTTCGTAGCTTTTGATCACATGGTCTTCATCAACAGACGGAGATAGCTTTGGTGTAATGGAAATGTAGCTCTCCAAACTTTCCAGTGACTTCTCGTCTATGTTGGCTTAAAATTTTAACTTGACAGTTCATTCTTGATCTTGGAAACAGCACTGGATAAAACCACTTGCAGCCTGTTTTTTCTGGAGCTTTCGACCATATCACACGGTTTTCCTCAGAAGAATAAACAGTACATACATTTTGCAATTTTAGTTATTTTATTATAAATGCGTGTACTGTTATCTGACACACTTGTAGTCATGCTTGTTGATAAGACGCATTTTACAGAGGTGATAGAATTGAATTCCTGTGTTTGAAAATTCTGTCCGGTGATGGGTTGGTGATTGTTTTTATGCTTTTGTGACAGCCGTGGCCGGAAGCATTGGGTTTATAGGTTGTCCGCATGTACATGTATCCGTACCTCAGTGATGCATACTCAAAAATTCTTTAACTAGTTCTAAAGAAATTCCACATAAATGTACACAGTACATACAGTACTTTTACTGTTACATTTGTGTACAGTGTACACAAATGTAACAGTAAAAAACGGAATGTTCTGCAAAAATACTTTTTCTGGCCATTATTCAGTGCCATAACTCAGGAACAGAATGGGACATTGTGACCATATTTCACATTTGTCAGATACTGAATTGGTAACACTAATCTTGGGTGCCCCTCGTTGAAACTGGTGGTTGTTGGTACTTGGAAGTCTTCTGTGCTGCCAGGTTGATGGTGTGTGTGTGTGTGTGTGTGTGTGGTTGTGTGTGTGTGTGATTGTTGTGTGTTGTGTGTGTGTGTGTGGTGTGGTGGTGTGTGTGTGTGGAGTGAGAGGCACCGCGTTTGTGTAGATTTGTGCTCTCTTTAGCCAGTAGCATCCATACATTTGAAGCATTGTCTACTGTCATGGCTACAACTTTGAGTTCTATCAGAATCTGCTTTATTGGCCAATTTTATTTTTATATCCCTGTATCACAAATCAAAAATTTGCCTCAAGGGGCTTCACAGTCTGTACAACAAACAACCTTTTCTATCCGAGAGGATGATGAGCAACCCCAGGTGTTCCCAAACAGAGCTGAGCCACACGACCTTCACTCCACCATCGAGACAACAAAGACTCACAGCAGCAAAGCTCAAGCACATCATTCACAGAGGTAGTAAAAAACACACAGAGGGAGAAAGAGACAAAGACAAGATACACAAAAGGAGAGCGAGAGACGAGAGGAGAGGCGGAAGATCAAGATCTAAACATCTGGAATGAACATGGATGTACACTGCAACACTACTAGTTGGTGGAGGCAGTAATTGTAGTTTAGCTTTAGGTACAGTTTTTTGCTGCTATACAGGGTATGATAATAGACAACATGTTGGTTGGAAATGCCATCTCCCGATGACTTTTTAATCTCTCCCCCTGACTCATTTTAATAAACAAGGACCCTGTAAAAGTTACTGAAATATGCAGTGGATATCCTAGGCAAAAGGTCAGCATCCTCACCAACTGATTATCTACATAGCAGGCATGGAAATAAGGAAGCATCATTGTTCTTGTATTGCAGAGTACAGCTAGTTAGTCCTAGTACTTTATGCATGATAAGGAAAAAACTACAATTAGACAATCACTGTGCGTTAACTCTCAATTGATGATTGATTGTGTTTTTGGTTTAATATCCTAACTTAAAATGTTCCTTTATTGTTCATCTGTAATTAAAACCTAATATGTAGAACATATGAAGTTGGAAAGCCCAACTGTGATACAATCAAGAATTACTTTTGTCTTTTACGCTCCTCCATTCACACACTCACTCTCCCCTCTCTTGCACACGCACACCTTAATTTCCCTATCTCCCACTCTCGTTCTGCCTCTTTTCTTTCCCTCTCATCATCATCACGTGTTCCTTTCTCTCTTGTTCGTCCATCCCTTTGGCCTACTTGATTAATTGGACAATACAGAGAGGGAAGTGAGGAGATCCACACAGAGAACACGAGGCCAAGGACAGAGGACAGAAACTGCTATAAGTCGCAGCTGATAAGTGTGCAAAGTATATAACAATAACATGGACGTTTTTTATGTTATGTTAATAAAAAATAAGTCCTTGATTTTGAATGGAGCTTTGTCAGGTTTGAGTTTTAGGAAATGAGTGTTGACATTGGTGGTTCTTGTCATTTAAAGGACTCCACCCCCTGTCCCCTCTCTCCCCCTTTCCGCCCCCCCTAGCTTTCCCTCTCTGCTGATAATGTGACCTTGATCACAGAACTGCTACCCTCCCCACAGGGTCAACCCCCCTGCGTCCCATAATGAGTTGTTTTCCCACAGTGGGTGAACGGGACAAAAATGGCCTGCAGGAGAGCCCCAGGGAGAGGGAGTGAGTGAGACAGAAAGAAAAAGAGAGGGAGGCAGAGAGCAGCAGGGGTAGGGAGTGGACGGTAGAGATTCAAAGACGGCTGGAATAGAGGGATTCAAGAGGAGAGGAAATTAGAGGGAGGGAGTCGAGTGCAGCAGGGGAGCAGAGAGAGAGTGATGTAAAGTGGTGGGTGAAAGCAGGGGGGAGAGGAGGTGTGAGCCAGGCGTGTGGACATAGCGAGAGGGAAAGAGAGCTCAGAGAGACAAGAGAGAGAGAGAGAGATAGAGGACAAAGAAGAAGTGCTGCTGGTAAGATGTTTCATTTATGTTTTACAACTTGACGAACAACATGGTGCAGAGGACAGCAGAGGTTAAACATTTTCTTTTCCTTTGACACATGTAATTGTGTATGTATTTGCAGTTTCTGTGTTTTTACTGTATGTATATAAATATATATTTTACTCTGTCTCATAGGGAGGGGATTTAAGTGAAGAACTTTCTATGATAAATTGTAAAAGTTCTGTCTGTTTTGTCTGAAACTTTCCGTCAAAGTTGCAACTGAAAAGATTCTTAGAATAGAGCTGAGTGAAATCAGGTGTCTGCTGACGGTGACCTACTTCACATATTGCTGAAAGGCAAATTGATTTTAACTCCATCCGCTAGTTGGTGTCAAAGGTGTCATATCGTATTCTGGCTCAGGGATACGTTGGAAGACTTTCAATTGTGAATGTTCATTGGTACGTTGTTATTGTGGGTTTTAGTTCGTCAAGGCGAGGGAGAGAAGTAAGGTCAATAAGCTTTTATAACGGGGACACTATCAGACTGCTTTCGATCTGTGATGCTTACTGTTACGTCGTCTGTCTGCTTTGGGCCATTTTGTTGACGTTTTGACGTCAAAAATTGTTGCAATGTTGTGATTGCTAATTTTTACTTACGTATGAGAGTGAATTTATATAGTATGTTATAGTAAAGTTTTAGACAGAGCCAGATCTATGGTGTTGAGGACAGTTTTAAAGCTTAAGTTAACTATTTTTAAAGGAATTATTTTAAAAAGTATTTACCTGATTAGGTTTACTGAGTAAAAGTCAGAACAGATTAATGTTCCAGATTTGAGAGGTTTCCAGTTCTTTTTATTCTGCAGGGTTATCCAGATATCTCAGCCCTTCTTGGAATAGACACCAGGCAAGTAGAGCTACTGCAATTTGTAGGATAGATTGGAGAAAGCACAATTCAGCTTATTGTTGTACTGAAAGTTTTTTTTTATTTTTTTTTGCTTTCATCTGATAGTTGATTTACTTTGTTGGCAGTTTTATAAATTCTCAGATAATTTCCCAGTGTGCCAGCAGCTTAATTTATTTTAGGCTGATAGATGAGTTCCGTATCATAACATCGCAGTGTGAGTGCCAGAATATCTCAGTAGCACTGGTGAAACATAATAAATTCCACATTTGCTTTGCTGGCTCAGTGTGTTTGTAGCTAAAACATCTTTTTCATGCATTTATTATCCACTTCAGTTGCAAAGCTTAAACACATTAGCTGGACTGTGTGACACTGGGCGAGAGAGCATCATTCAGCCTGATGTGAGAGAGCACCTCTTGGTGTCATCCCAAAACAAACAATGGAAGAAGCCTCGTCAGAGGCTGACTAGCAGTGAGGATGTGACACAGAAATAGCATTCAGTCAGTCAGTGATTGAATCATTGATTGGCTGTTCATTGATTAGAGCTGAATGCTCATTTCCATCCCGGCCAACTGCATCTGAAACCAAGGACAGTTAGGGTTTAACATTTCCACTTTCCATGTGTGAAAGTTTAAAACAATGAAAACTTTTAAAAATAACTATGATATTGAAATATGACAAAAAACAGTGTAAAAAGCGCACATTGACAACAATTACATTTATATTCATCATATTCATGCCATATAACTGGTCACAATCCAATCCACTTAGCACCTCAACAGCTGTCTAATGTGGCTATTTCCTTTCTTTACAATATCACTATATGGGTCATTTTACTTAAATGCAAATGGGTTGTTTATTTTTATGTGACACCTTATGATATTGTACCACCTTCAGTATCTAGGCCAAGGTAGTCTCACCAGCAAGACCATCCCTAGTGAGTTAATCAGCTTATTCTTCTCTTCCACAATCTGGCCATCTTGAAAATCCTTGTCCAAATCATTCTGGCATCGTGTCTAATTAATTTATCTGCACATCATGTGTCTTGAATCGAGGAACAGTTCAGCACAATCAGGTAGTTCAGTAAAGTGAACTTCATTCTCAACACTTTGCTGTGCAGTTGTCCTGGCTGGCAAGATAAGCCATTCAGTCTTTGCCTGTAACGAGCATTTATACTAACTTGTCGTTTTTCTTTCAGAAGCTGGGCCGTGACCCCTCCGATGAAGACTGCTTCTTTGACCTCCTTAGTAAGTTCCAGAGCAGCCGCATGGATGACCAGCGCTGCCAACTTGATGAGTCACAGAACGGAGACAACGGAGAAGGTGCTGCCAACTCCGTGCCGTCCCTGAATGAGATGATAGGTTGGTTGACAACAGTATTCACATGCCCATTTACTCCTTTACTGGTTATTTTAAGGACACCTGAACTCCTTTTTTAAATGGCAGCAATAGTATCAAATACATTTGCACTCACTGTGCTCTACTCTCTTTTCCTAGATCCTGCGATTACCACTTCCCCCCAGACCGAGGAGCTGTTTGATTTGATTGCTAGCTCTCAGAGCCGCCGTCTTGATGACCAGCGGGTTAATGTTGGTAACCTTCCAGGACTGAGGATTACCCATAACAATCTGGGACACCTGGTGGGTGAGGGAGATCATCAAGAACCCAGCGATGACTTCTTCAACATGCTTATCAAGTGCCAGGTAAGGCCACGATTCAGACATAAACTCAGGGATGTAATCATTTTAGATTATTAGTCTTATAGACAATGTCACATTTGCCTCTACACTCTAAATGTTTTACTTTTTCTGACGGCAGTCCTCTAGGATTGATGATCAGCGGTGCTCCCCACCAGAAGATGGCCCCCATGCCCCCACAGTGCCTGACGAAGACTTCTTCAGTCTAATCCAGAGGGTGCAGGCCAAGCGTATGGATGAGCAGCGCGTCCAGCTGCCCACAGACGACCAGGACAGCCCTCAGTCCCCTGATCCAGAGCCACCTGGTAGTTTTTCCAGCTAGGACTCGGTGAAAAAATGCTCCACAAATTCATGTCAAAGAAAATAAATGCGGATCAAGTGTAAGAAACATGAGCCAACATTTAAAGACAGCATTAAAAGGGTGAACTAACAAGATTTTTAATAACAAGACAAATTTAATGTGCAATAGGTGGTACCCTGTCAAATGTTGCTAGATGTGTTATGTTCTAAATGTGCGTAAAAGTAACAGGAAAAACAAGCAGAATTTAGGCTTGGTGGTGGGGAGACATGATAACAACAAACATGAAATATTTACTCAATCGAATGCCTTAATCAGCAGTTTTTCAGACTCAAGATTGTAACCCCTGGTGTCAGATGTGTTTTTCTGTGAAGCACATGATAGGCATACAGTGCAATGTGGAAAATTAGTGTGGAGACCTTGAGCACGAGTCGCTAAAGTGACAAAGATTTAATGATAGAAACACAGTTGATGAAAACAGCAGAGAAATTACAGATTTGCACTGAAAACTTGAAGCAGTTTTATAGAGACATGATTGATAATGCATACACCAACTGTGTTCAGGTCAGTTCTGATCAATGCTGCTTTTATCATTGAATTGTTGTGGTTCCCATCGCTCATAGAAAACTGGTGTTATTTGTGCAGTAACAGTATTAGGGATGTCCATCCAGTGTTAAAGAAACTGCTTTGGTCAGTTTAAACTTCCCAACGATTGATAACCACACTTCATTTTTTCTTTCTTTTGTTTTTCTAAAAAGAATCTGATTCATTTAAATTGACAGTGAAATGAGTGAAATATAATTTTCCACATAAATATTATTTATGTGCATTTATGCATTTATAAAAATACACCTCTTTACACAGTGTGCAGTAACTGAGGTTACTGAGCAAATTATATGAAATAGCTGCTTATTTTATAGTTTCAAGATTAGAGTTGTGTGTGATCATTCAAGCTCAAATTAATGTTTCTGCTTAGCTTTTAAAGTAATGCTATCCGCTGCCCATAATGTTCTCAACATCTGATAACAGACTACTGCTTACTGCTTGTATTATTATTATTTCTTAACATAGAAATAGAAGCAGATGGATAAGGTGGATGTGTCGTATTTTGAAAGGTCTAATACCGTGAACAATATTGAAGCACTAATTCTAGGCTGTGCTGCTGGTGTGCTGCCTCCCTGTGGTCAAAACCATGTATTACATCTGTGAAATATAGCGTGCAGTCCATTCCCTACCCTTGAACATTGTAATAATAATATTGCGTTACGGTGCAAGTATGATGATTCTGAGAACTTTCCTCTGGTTTCATCAAAAAAGATTAGCCAACTTATACCATAAATGTGGAGGTTTTTGCAAATAATCTTATTTGGTGTCATTTCATTTGTTGCTAGGTTCCAAAATCAGAGAAACATTTTGCTGTACAGAACATCTGTATAATGGTACTGTACAAAAACTGACCTTACCTATGGGCTTGCTTTTTATTCAGAAGTAGTGCATACCTCATTTTTGTACCTCAAAGCTTATGAAACTTAGAGATATTCTGAACCAGGATGGATCATGTACCTAGTTCATTGGTACTTTTGATTCATCTATCTTTAATAAAACAACACATTGGGAGCTAAAGGTAATTTTTTTTTCTGTTTTTTTGTGAATTAACATTTTTAGAAAGTACGCTGGTACGCTTCTATTTGTCTCTGCCATAATTTGTACATATAAATATATTTTGTATTTATGTTCCATTTGAGGACATGAATATGTCCCCTCATGCTTTTAATAAAATGTTTCAGATGTTTCTATGGGCTCTGTTTTTATTTAGTTTTGGCGAAATAATAAATAGGTTCGCTTTTTGTAAAGTTTGCACACATCAATTCCACTTTTTAACCTGAAGAAAATAGCATGAGTAACACTGACCTCTACAGTGAGACCAAATCATCCCATCCCATCAAATTTGTTCTGGACTGGCTGAAAACAGCACAATAAATGGATTGGATTTCCCAAGCTCTAATCTTTGTTGGAACAAAGCACAAAGGGCTGACCAAATGTGTTGGCTAACTTCCAGTTTGGTTTGCATAATCAAGATTCAGTAGGAATGTTTTATTAAAACACACATTTATTCAGCTTCTGTTTTTCACTGAGAAAATGAAACACTTTCCAAGAACACACCTAAATTCACTCATAATAATACATTGTTCCAGTTTAATCACTTCTAATAGTATGATTATAACACCTGCACCTATGCCATGACATACTGTTTCCAGTTTCCAATATTCTGCTCTAATAACAAACATAAAATTTTAAGTTTAAAAGAAGTCATCTGAACTAATGAGTTATAGTTGTGCATTCTTCCACAGCTCCCCTCCTGTCCCTCTGCCTCTAATTTCACCCCTGCCTCCTCCTGTCCATCATCCTTTCACTCCCTCCCTCACTCTCCGCGTCCGTTCTTCCTCCCTCTTACCCAGAATGCAACGCAGGCTGAGCAGGCTCAGCTGAGCTATAAAAAGGCATAGCATGGGGGAGGGAGGGCTGCCGTGCAGCAGGAACTGTGCAGACACACACACACGGGGATCCAGGGACAGCAGCCCCCTTGCACTGGGAACTAGAGCCGCAGCGCGAAAGAGAGGTCAGTACAGAGGACAAAGGCTCCATAGAGGAAGAGCGAGCATGAAATGACAGGGAGTGGGTCTCACTTTGTCAGAGGGAGTGAGGAATGAAGAGAAGAGGGCAGGCACAGTGGGCAGGGCTGTTTGATGGGATGGAGAGTGAAAATAACAGAGACTGTAATGGTAAACTGTCACACTGTATAAAATGGTTGACACTGTCAGAAGATCAGGCATTTCTGCATAGTGCAAAGGCATGCAGCTCTTGCATGTCATTCACAGTGAAGGCACTCAATGCATGCCATAACTTGTTTTCTAAAAAAATGTATGTATTGCCATTCATTATCTTTTCCTCCAGACGTTTGCTCTGACATTTCATTGCAGGTGGTTGGCCACTCTATAAGATTGTATCTTCTACCTGCACCCATTAAAGGTCATTTTCATATGAGCTGTAGCCTTTTAACTCTAATGCTGTGCTTCTAGCCCTGGGAATGGTCATTAACAAGTGTTTAGGGGCTGAGTACTATTGATTCTTGTGAGTAGATGGTGCACATTGAAGTGAGCCAAAGCTCGCAATTTGGAACACAGACACATCCAAAACAGCCACAGCTCACACCGAAATAATCTCGCTCCATCCTTTCACAAACATCATGGAATATCTCCCACTGCACTGACGTCAAAGGGTCCCCTGTTCTTCCTTAAAGGGACAGTACGCTTAATTAATTTGCAGAGTGACTTAGTAACCAATGGCACACAGAGTGAATGCACTAATAGGTCAAGTTCTCAGTACTTTGTTTTCAGCCCTGTTGCTTCTAGGGGCAATCGGTGAAAGCTGCATCCCCACGTGCTTTTTGAGAATGGTCGACACGCTATCCCTTAACAGCTGCAGACAGACCAAGTCTTTTTTTAGCACGTCTGCATGTTAAAAAATAGTAGTAAGACATGACGAGATGGACTAACAGGTGGATGGGGGGGTGGTGAGTCCTGTGGAGGATAAAATGATAAAAACTATGTGTTCAAGGGTGTCTCCAGGTTCTCTAAAATACTTTTACATTCTGCAATAACAGTGCACTCAGTTGCACGGTTTTACATTATGTTGTTGTAAGAGATTTTAAAGAGAAACAATATGGACCCAATCCTAGAATATCTGTCACAGGGCTTTGTCCACATAATGATAAAGTGCAATTCAAACATCTTGCCACATTTCCAGCACTGATACAGCCTCTGTTAGGTTAATGTATTAATAGTCACACTACAGCAAAGTCATGTAAAGTTTCATTGCACAGTAGGTTTTCATTCCATAATTCCATGCATTATTGAGTGCAATACCCACACCGAGAGCCATGTAATGCCGTTTGCACTGTATTAGAACCTGTCTCATATGCCGAAAAAGCAGGGGACCCAGACGATGGCACCATAATAGGCCAGAGTGGGATTCCCAAACATGATCTGTGCTGACTCAGATGCCAGGCACCAAGTGACATTTACACAGGCCACAAGTTTAATGGCTGCTGACATAAAACTGGACACCTGAGAAGCACCACCACCAGTGCTGACGAGTATTGCATGTGAGAATCAGAGAACAAGCTGGTAGCGTGTGTAGATTTGGTGTGTACCACGCTAAGATATATCTTTATGGTGAACCAGGAAACACGTGTTTATATATCAACAGGACAATCTGGTGATTTGGAGATGTACTATAGTTTTTCCCTCTGCTGCAGTCTAGCTACAATGAAATAACTCATATTGCCTTTCACATCCCTACATTCCTTAAAGCTTATTTATCAATCTGGCAATATTGAATACCAACAGCCACTTTGTCACAAGGTCAAATTCTAGTCTTGTTAAATCTAATCAGATGTCACTCCTTCCATTTGTATTGCTCAGAAAAATATGCAGGCTATAGGATCTCTTATCAAGACTCTTCACAGAGAGACAAATTCAAATATATCTCATATTTATATATTTTGATTTATTCTTGGGTTTTTATTGTCTGTGTACATTAAATGTTCATGATTATACTCAACATTCAATACTGTAACTAAAAATAAAAGTAAAAAAAATAAAGTAAAGTAAGTTATTTGTAATGATAATGTTTTTGGTGTGCATGTGATGTTCTTTTTCCCTGGTGACCATGCCAAGATACTTGAAACCAAGCTTGGGCCTCACCATGCAACCTAAGAAATCAGCCCTTTGCCCTTTATCACAAATCTGGTTTCACAGATCTCAGGTTACTTAATTACCATAGGGCACACGTGTGTGATGTAAGTAACCAGGTGACAAACAGGAAAATGCTTAACTGTGTGGGATGGTGATTATTACTGTATATAATCCACGTACTGCAAATGTATAGGTGACATAAGGTGGCATTCTGACTCCAAATTGATAACAAACATGAGTGTGAAACAGCTTTATGGAAGATATGAAATTAATGTGAAATACATGCAAAATATAGCGTTGAATTTCTTTCAAGGCATCATCGAATATGGCCTATAGAGAACTTCTCTATAGTCAAAGCAGATGCAAAAGTATTTGGTTATTTTGACATATGGCCACGCCTATGGAGCTAGATGTTAAAGTTATTTAAAGTCAGTTCTTTCAAACACATCCATTCTCAGCCCGAGACACATGACACAGGCGAGCAGCTAGTTGATGGTATCTATTTACACATGCCAGCACTTGTGACTCCCTTGACCTCCTTCCTCATTATTCTGTCTTCTTTCTGAAAGTTAACTAAAAGAGAAGTGTAAACAGGAAACCACACGTCTGTTGTCTTCTTTAGATATGTTCGCTACTGTTAATACAGAAGAGTCATTTCCTGTCCAGTTGAAATGAGGGACTAGAATTGTTGTGGTCTTATCCTGAACTGTTTGCAAAAGAAAAAAACACATGCTGTAAAAGCTATTTAGTATTGTATAATTATATTATAATAAGTTGTAAAATAATACAAATTGTACATTACCAAAATAACAAATGCTGTAGATGTTTTTATGTGTTTGTGAAAGTGAAGCGCAGCATTAGTTAAAAGATCTAGAACTGAAGGGTACCCTAACCCTAACCCTAACCCTATCTACAAAGAACAAGTTACTGCCAAAGAAGTGGGTTTCTTAACAGCAGAGTGTTGTATTCACAATATTCACTGTAGAAATATGTTTTAAACACAGCAATACTGATTCTCAGAATAGATACAACAGTTATGTGACAATTAAAGGAAATGCCTTTTGGAAAATAATTGTATAATCTTGATTATGCTGCTTTAACAATATAAATAAGTAACTGTAAGTAACTTGGACTATCCTTTGGGGTTTACAGTGGGAAACAAATTATTTGGAGGGTCCAAAGTCAATATCTGATAAATTGCCAATGGATAAAAACATGATCAACTAAGTGCCATTTGTCTTTTCTGTGTGACATAAACCCCTTATAATAAACCCTTACAATGTAACACTTATTGCCCACACAAAACACACACTGCTAGTTTACCATACAGCAATGGACTCCCTAAATTAAGCGCAACCTACTGAAATTCTATTAGACATTCTGCCTTTTTCAAAATACTGTACTGAACTTACTTTCCTGTGTCCTCTTTTTGTCTTTTAGTTGAAGGAAAACACTCATCAAACGCAACACAATGGCAGGTAAATAATATGTCATGTAACACGAATTGATTGTGATTAATAATGTTAAAAATGTTGATTTGTATTATTAAACTTATGAAGTTAAAATAAGTCAGAAGCTAACTTGTATTTTGTTAGACTCTACTGCCCTCTTTTGGTGATATTTGAGAATACAGAGACTACAGGGGAGGTCTTACATTTAACATTGATATGAATTCACTCTGCACTTAGATATGATACTCTATTTTTATTGAAAAACAGATCAATATTATATTAAATTTAATTAACAACACTACATTGTATAGTAATATGATGATCATATGACTTAGCTGTACACATCACCATACAATACGATTATGAACAAGTCCAAATCTTGTTTTTTCTTCTTTGCTCATTTGTTAGAGTTATAACTCAGACTTTTGCTTTAGTTCCCTGTGAACAGTTATACCTGGCTACATTACATTATAAGGTGACAACAGTTGCCCTGGCAACACTGTTTGAGTAATAGCACAAACCTCCACCAAAGCAAACACAGTCAAAAGAGTATATGGACCAGGCGACACTATACCCTGCAACTGAAAAATGGGAAATACGTGTACTGCTGATTCCACTGAATGTCATCTCTCTACATCTTCCTGTCGAGATGGTTTGTTAGAAATATCCTAATAGTGTTTTTTAATAATTATTAAAAACACACCATGTACCTTGCATTAGTTATAAGAATGCTTTGCCACTGCTAACCTATTTTGTTCATGCTCATTTCAGACAAAATTAAAGATGCCAAGATCATCTTTGTTGTGGGTGAGTATAATTTTCTCTAATTTTTCACCACGCAACACTTTTTAATCACTAATTCCACCTCGTGCTATAACAGTGTTTTTTTGTCTTTCTTTTCAAGGTGGGCCTGGCTCTGGAAAGGGCACCCAGTGTGAGAAAATAGTTGCAAAGTATGGCTACACCCACCTGTCATCTGGAGATCTGCTCCGTGCTGAGGTGGCTTCTGGCTCTGAGAGGGGCAAGCAGCTCCAGGCCATCATGCAGAAGGGAGAGCTTGTACCCCTGGTAGGAGACTCGTGTTGTTTTTATTTTTTGCAACTTGTCCTTAAAAAAACAATGATCATCATTTATATACTTTTGCAATACCAGGCAAAAATGGTGCACCGATAAGTTCTTACAATTCTATCTCATTTACCAGTTTATTAGCTACACCTACACCACAGCTAAAACTAGTGCAGGCTATACAGCAACCATGCAATAAATCCAGCCTTCATGAAGGCTATAATGTTCAGTTTTAAGTCTCCTAAAGAGCAGCTGATTCGACTTCATATTTATTCTAGATAGTGGAACATGTTGGGCTGTTGAGCTGTATTGCATTATACAGAGCGGCCTTTGTGTTATTTATTTTACCCTCATTGATGTTAATGGAGAGGACAAAAATAATAGAAATGCCTGTCAGCATAATACACTGACAGCTGAGTGTATTTTCTACTAGAAGGGCCACATCATTGTGAAGTTTGATCATAATGTTCAGGGTCTGCTTTCAGGACACCGTCTTGGACATGATTAAAGACGCAATGATCGCCAAGGCTGATGTCTCCAAGGGCTTCCTTATTGATGGCTACCCCCGAGAGGTCAAGCAGGGCGAGGAGTTTGAGAAGAAGGTAAGAGAGTGCATGAGATGTTGGTCAATAATTCATCCCCCACAACAATGGAAAAGCCTCAAGCAAATTCTCTTCCCAGATCGGCAAACCCTGCCTGCTGCTGTACGTTGACGCAAAAGGAGAGACCATGGTCAAGAGGCTTTTGAAGCGGGGTGAGACCAGCGGCCGTTCTGATGACAATGAGGAGACAATCAAGAAGCGCCTTGACTTGTATTACAAAGCAACTGAGCCAGTCATCGCCTTTTATGAGAGCCGTGGCATTGTCAGGAAGGTGTGTGTAACTGCTATGGCGAAGAAAACTGAATATATATAATATCTGCATGTATTCTCACACATGGTGTCATCTTTCTCTGCCCAGGTTGACTCCGAGCTGCCAGTGGATGAGGTCTTCAGCCAAGTGGCCAAGGCTATTGATGCACTGTAGTAAAACAACATAACTGGATGAGCTGTTTCTGGTTGTTGTTGTTTTATTTATTTTTTTTATTTTCTCAGAATTCATTTTCATATGGACAAAACATGAAGAACAACAGAAATAATTCCCTTCCTACTCATTTTGGTTAAAATACTAAAGGCCATTAAGCATCAAAGATGCCTTAACTCTCCTTCTACTCCAGCAATAGGAATTTATAGTTTTAAGCTCAAAAAACAATGAATATGCTTAAAGCAGCGGCATCTGGAAACCCTTTTGTTTCTGTATGTAAGTCTGACATCCATTCTGTGATTAACATGTATGTGGATTTACCCAAGTCACATCTCAAAAGGTACTGTACACAGGAGGTGTCAAACATCTCCTGACCTTTAAGAAACTGTGCTCACTCTTGGGCAAACCTGCACTTTACACAATCTTTTTCCCCCTCTTTCAAACCTGCCATACAGAGTCCAGAGTTCGTGGAAAAATAATAGTCTCCTTTATGATTGTGCCATTGAGCAATGGCAGAGATCACCCACTGTGGACAAACTGGTGAAACTCAGTAAACATGTACATGTACATTGACTTCTGTATTACAACCACCATGGACTTCATACATTTGCAACTATATTTAAAGCACAGAAAGGTTCTATTTTTTTCATCAAGATGTACACTTTAAAGTGGTATATGTAACAAAAAGGAAATTAAAGTAATGAAAAACATAATATTTGAAATTAATTTATTAGTGGTGACTGTGTTTGAGTATTTGAATGCAATCTATAATAATACAATTCAGTAATACATTGTGAGTAATCCAGGAAAACCAAATACACACGCATAAACTAGGGACTAGGGATTCAAAGTTCAAAAAGGAAACGCTTTCCTATTCAGAAAACATGGTCAAGGTGCTGGAGAATGTAGACACAACAGGATACAGGACATGCTGCTGTAGCCATAGCTAACTACTGTTATTATAACTTCTCCTTTGAGCCTGTGATGACCAACAAGTCTTCCTTTACCTCTCACCTTCCTCTCACCGCATACACACACACACACATCCAGCTGGCCAAGCAAACACTGCAACAGGTATCCGGACTACCCTCCAAGGAGAACTCTGATCATGACTCCACGCCGTAGGGATGAGGAAGAGGAAAACGGCTTCTGAGAGGGGACAGGATGTGTTCATCGGAAAGTCAATCAAGAAGAGGCGTCTGTAAGCACTTTCATAAAGTCATTGAGGATGCTGCTTGAATGCTTGGAATGCTGCTCTTACTTCATAAAGGTACAAAACAAAGGGGAATAAAGGAGGTGGCAGTGGTATTTATCACGTACAGCAGGGAGAGAAAGAAAGAGACACATGTCTGTGAATGTGGGGGTGAGGGGGAAACTGAGTCCCGCGCTTCAGGGATCACAGCCTCGGCTGACCCATTGTGTATCAAATTCAAAGATGACCCCATGAACTCCCAAGTATTGAACATATGAACATTCAAAACAAGTGACAAATAACTTAAGGCCCTATGTGTAGAATCTGAACATTTCTGACCTCCTGTGGTGGTAAAGCAGACCTCATTTGGCTACACCATTTTCCAATTTGCTATAAAATTGTAGTCTCAAACCTCACCAGGTCTAGTCATCTAGCTTGTATGGGCAAATCTAAATAAGGCAGGAATGCAAAGACCCTACAAGGTATGAAAGGATATTCATTTTTGGGTAAATCAAAGTAGCAGATGATCACTGCATTAACTTTTGGTGAAGGTATAATCACCATAATCGACCCAAAAAATTTAAAATTAAAAAAGCCTAATCACGTAAGGGGTGAGTTTACTCAATCATCACAGGTAGAAAGGTGTCAACAAAATAATTTATTTTCCACTCACCTGCAGAATTAATGGCCAGATCCTTAAAAATGAGCTTAATGGCCATAGAAAAGCCTTCTGTGTGAGGCTTCCACCAAGGCAGATAAAATGAACCTAAGAATTGTATGCACGCTATGTGTGCACTTACTGTAGCTGCGTAATTGTAAGGGGAGGGATGTGCAATCAGCTATGAATTATACTGTTGCATATGACAGCTTATAAAAAGAAGAAAAAAATCAATGCGTGTCACAGACTATATATATTCATACTGTACATGTATATATGTGTCCATCCATACATCATACTTTCTATTCTGTTGTCAGGTGACCTCTGAACTAAAAAAAGCTAATAGCCCAGAAATGAACAACACGAGTAGCTCATGATTTCCAAATAAAGGCTGGTGGGCTGAATGTAACCTGGTCGTGCAGTATTTCATGGGAATCATGTGGCCTACCGGTCAGTTATCCATTCAAGGGTAATACTGAGACCTTCACAGCTTTTTGAAATGACCCCCTTATTAGACTGTCACAGACAATTTCATGTGACTCCAATGTAAAATTAACAAGGACCCCTCACTTAAGTGAATCCTAACTGCAGTTCCAGCAAAAACCCTGAATTACTCAGAAGTGAGATATGATTTTTCAAATGGGATGTTTCTATAATGAAGGTCTTGTCAATTAGCTGCCTTGTGGGATTGTAGATGTACATGCAATGACTTTGTGAGGCTGACAGGCTTCTGTTCATCTAGTATCAGTCTCGGATATGACCGCTACAAGGCCATGCGTCAGATCCCCCCTTAGAGGACGATAAGGAAACTAGAAAGCTGGCACATATACTTGATTCTCTCTCTCTCTCTCTCTCTCTCTCTCTCTCTCTCCTATGCTGTGTACTGTGGCGGACTGACTGGCTGGCACCACAGAGACCCAGTGGCACCGTGCGGGAACCAGCGTCAACCTGTGATGAAAGACGATGGCCGATTGTTTCCTGTTATTGAAACATTACTCATGGGTGGGGGTGGGGAGTTGGGGGTAGGCTCCAATAAAAAGGAAAGCCATTGAAGGAGAGTGCTACTGTAGAAGTGTCCTTTGGCTAGCCTCAGATGTGATGGACTGCTGTAAATGAATGCCAACCGTGACATATGCCTTTTAAATCCTAGTCATGTCAACTACTAGAGGATTGCAATCATTTAAGTAACTCAGGGTGCAAGTTGAGTGAAATTGTCTGTACTTAGTGTAGGATCCCATGTGCATTTCTTTGTTCATGCTGCCTGAAGGAATGAGGTCAAGGCAAGTTCACAGAGCCAATGAGCAGAATATCAACTAGTCTCAGAAAACAAGGCTCTGTGTACTACTGTTTTTAATGCACTGTGGGAATTTAGCACTCTAACATATCAATTAGTCCAATTAATCATTAAGCACTTGTGATCTGCAATCATGGATTAACTAGATTAGGCCTTTTGAGAGTCTACAGTTCAGTTCAAATTATTGAGGCAAATTACGCTGGGCAGTATAGTGGTAATGCCAGTAAAGAGTTCAAATCAGAGCAATCACACTAGCTGTGGCGAGCTTTCATGCTACTTTGCAAGGCCTATGCTGTCACCTTCAAGACTTGTATTTAGCATATTTGTGCGTGCCTGCACTAAATCTGTGACCAGCCATTTTTGTTATGTCTTGTAACTGGATTTTGTTCCTGTGATGTGCAGTTGCAGTATGTTCCTAAATCACAAAGTGCATATCAGAAAGGAGATAAGCTTCATTTCAAACACTCCTTTCAACTTTTGTTGTTTGTTTTGTTGTTTTTAATATCAAGATTAGGAAAAAATTTTTTCCAGAAAATTGCTTGACCGGCTTTTCTCACCGAAGAGTGAATGGAAGAGGATAAAGCTTGTTTGCGCTCTCCTGTAATTTTCCAGTGTTTCTGTTACACAACACACACGGATGCAGTTTGTTAACTTTTGTTTGCCACAGCAGTTTTGTACTCTAAATGCTTTTGTAGCATTGTTGAAGTCTAGTCTATGTGTGTTTTTCTTTTCTGCTGCTCCTCTGCTCTGCCAATAGACTTTGTGTTGGGAGTCGATTTGACGGAGTGATGACTCCTCTGAGTCTGTTCAGTTCAGAAAGGATGTTGTGTCTACACTTTGCTCCAATCTATTTTTTTCTCACCAACTACTGGTGGTGCTGTAGGCAAAGATAAATGCCCCCCCCCCCCAGAAAAGCTATTGTTTTTTCTCCTTTATTTTTTATCTGGATAAACTAATTAACCAATAACCAAAAATATTTATAATATGCCGATACAAAACGTGAATCATTTTTTTATTCAAATTTCTAAATCTCCCAGAGCTTCCAGTGACATTATACAGTTCACAACACATACCACTAATAACATCCAACATCCAGTGAGTTTAAAGTAAATTCAGAAATCTGTTTGGTAATTGTGTGCATCTCTGACTTTCAGTGTTTGGCCCACACACCCACGGTACACCCACAGTTTTCACTTGTTTTTGTGATTAGATCTCCTCTCAGGAATGTGTGGGCATGTGCAGACTGAGCTTGATAAACCTATTTCAAGTAAAACATTTTAGTACAAAAGTCACAAAAGCACCGATCTAAGTAATAAGATTAATGATGGCTGAATTATGCTTGTTTTTTACAGAAGACATGTCGGTATGTCAGCAGGAAAAGGACAGCTTCATTTGAATAAGAATTTGACTACCGTCTCACTGTTATGGCTTACTGGGGTACTTGAAGAACAGAGCCAAAGGTTAATAGTAACACCTGTGCGTTGAACCTGAACTGCCTGAAATCACTCCCTCGTTCAGTACTACCAATAAATACTAAATATTTCACTATAATGACCAATAACTCAAGATTTCAGACACTTAGGAATCATTGTCACTTTGCATCATCACTGACACTGATACAAAATGGCAGAGGATTAATTTATATGCACTATATAATACTACACGAGGAGCGATCTGGAAGGCAGCCTTGGTAATCTCACATAAAACGTCAGCCGAGACAGAGGTCCTATTAAATCACCTGTGTGAGTGTAAAGGGTTTTAGATAAAAGCAAAAGTTTACAGGTCCATAAGTGTTGTAGAGTCAAATGTTATCAATAGATCATTGTAAAACCAAATTCGTTTAATGTTTTGCAACAACAGCAATCACAATGATTACATGTGTAAAATTTAAAGCTCCAGTCTAAATGTTTCAGTAAAGGAACCTGTTGATTGATCCACAATTGAAAACAGGTAAATCAGTTTTACCAAAATTAAATTATGGATCCATTTAGCCCTATAGATCATAAACTATAGCACTGACCTTTAACTGATGATAGGAGAATAATTTCCATATATTAACACAGTAATTGCCTCCCCGAGGCTTACACAAACTCACTTCTACATTACTAAATTAAACTTGAGTATGTGAACAGGTAGGCTTTAAGTCAACAAATGGAAAATTAAAGTGCGTATCACAAAATGAGCACAGTGATGCATCATGAAACCATGGCAACAGCTCAAGACAGTTTGAACTTGAATTAAAAATAACACTGGGATATATATGGATGAAAGATTGAAGAGCATTTAAGTCAACATCTGAACCTTGTTGTCAGAATGCAACATGAGCACCAGAATAAGACTATAATTACAACATTCTTATTGCTGTTCTCAATATCAGTGCTGTCGTTTTTGTTTGCAACACGACAGGCACGTGTTACAAGGTGTTGTGTAGATGCGTCACGCGTGCTGTGAAGGTGACAGGCTAATAAGGGTTCTGCAAACACATGCATACAATTGTGTTCTCTGTAGGGGGTGTTTTTTTCAATGTATAATGTGATAAGCCACATCTCAGTTATATAGATACAGAAAAGCATGGGGATTTTTTTATGTGAATTGTAGCCTAACTATAATAGTTTTATATTTTACATATTAGATTTCATCAACGAGCCTATACTTAAAAAGGAATCTAAACAAACATTACCAACAACAATGTAAGGATATTACAAATTAAAGTGACCATGATGCTTTCTTGGAAACCGCTTGATCCAAAATTAAACCATGACTCATGTCATCCGCTGTGGTAAAACCTTGGTTATTTCTTTTACTCATTGTCTAAAAATCCTGATGTTAGTCCACTTTGGAAAGTCCAACTACAATTTGCCACACACAAATGTATTCAGAGAGAATAAGAGAAATTATTATTTTCACCCATTATCATTATCATCACTCTGTGGGCCACTTTTCGCCTTAATATTAAGTATGTATGATATTTGTTTTTGTCCTTTTTTTAATCTATCCATGTCCTACATCAGATAAGGTCCACCATGCAAAAACATACTTTATTACTATTGAAAGAAATAGTCCAGCATTTTTAGGAAATATGCTTACAGTGTTTTTTTTTGTGAAAATAAACGTCTAATCTGTCACAGAAAAATAAATAAATATATATAGTAAAAGGCTACAAGCCTACATAAAGATAAAGGCTACAACCAAAGAGAAAAGGGGGCTATTAGTATACAATATAATTCAGCTCTTTAAAATCAGAATTCTAACTGAAATATATACTATGCTGACCAGATAAGACAATGAGAGGGGCAGTATTCACTCGGAAAAAAAGGCCGGTGGGAGGGGTACAAAAGTCAAGCTGCACCGCCCAGGCAGCACAAAAAGTTTGGAAAGTCCTGACATCCTGAACATCGCTGAATGCAGCCACATGCTTTCCCGTGGATTATAAAAAACTGCTTTATTCAAGAAAGCCACCTTATCTTAAAAGTAAGTTTTGTGATTCATAACTTTGTTTTCACTCTCCTTGGGAATGTGCGGTCTGGTTTATTTCCCTGATAGCCTGAAGGGCAGTAATTTAACCACACTCTTTCCTCCTCGACCAGTCCGTTTTATGTCTGCTTTGAAATGCAGAGGTCAGATAACTGTAGAAAGTGCTAAATATTAGAGCTGTAAAAACAAGGAGTTATTACCATAAAGGCGGATAGTCTACCTAAGGGATATTTTGCCTCATTAATCACTGCTTTATTAATGTTATTTGTACACTTTTTTAGTAATTATGTTGCTTAGTTAAAGACGTGTTTCTCTTACAGTCGTAAGGTCCGGGGAAATAACGTTTTTTGTTTCCCCTTGGAAGTGCATAAACAGTTTACACAGGCTCTTCCTTTGCCTCTATATGAATCATATAACAAGAGCAGTCTCCTTCTTATCTGATCTCGGCATTGTGGTATTATTTAAAGAAAGCGATGCAGTAGTGCTTCCTGAAAGAGTCGGGCCAGAAGTTAGTGACCACCAGATAACCCCTGGGTTCAGACCCTCATTGTGCACCAGGAAGACGGGCAGAAATATTGTGGGATTTTCTCAGGAGGAGAATCCTGTCACCCCACTGATGGAATTTAAGACATTTAGGCAACATTTCAGTGTTGAATAGTGTGTGTAAATGACCAATGCTCCTTTGTGTCCTCATTTATTTTTGTTGCATGTAGCTTCTCATAACAATCTCATAAGATCTATCTCATAAACTGCACTTTTAAAATGTTAACCATCAATAGTTCTAACTGAATATTATTGTTAATTGGCATCAGAGAATGTGTTTGTGTTATAACCTTTCCATGACACAGTCTTGACAGAACCGATGCACAGGAGACAGATTTGGCATACAATACATGTTTTAGTATGAGATTAACACGCACGAGGTTGGCCGGTTGGTCACATCCTCCTTTATCAACCATAACATCTCATTGATTGCTGGCGTCTTTTTTCCCCCCCCTGACCTGTCAACCTTTGAAGACTGGAATTGTCTGCTCTTCCTCTGCCACGGTCATTTGCTGCTCTCCCACTAGACAAGGACACTTCAACCACTGCCCGAGTGTCTTCGCTCCACAGAGACTCAGACTAATCTTCAACCATCACCTCAAACACAAATCTTAGCAGAGATGGAGGGTCATGTGTTTGCCCTGCTTCTGTGCATCACTGCTGCAGCCTCTGGTAAGTCTACCAGCGGATACTAATATTATCATCATTTAGATCTTGCATTTATTGACAAGTGTATAAACTTAAAACAACAGACCATATGTCACTGGATTTAGTGGATTTTGAGCCTCTAGGGGATATTCCTATCAGCCTGAAGTTCAAAGGCAGATATTAATCCTTTCCTGTCCTGTGTTTTGCAATGATTTCATTCTGTAGACATAAAATAATATTTTATGCTCTGATGTGTTTTTCTCTTGCACGCTAAATCAGGATTTTACAACCGGTCTGTGAAGAGAGGTTATGTGCAAAATTGTTGTTGTGAAGTCCTTTTGCCTGAACAGTAGTTTATCCTTACAGAAAGATTATACAGCATGCAATATTTATTTTTATAACACAAGAGCTAAATTCAAAACATATGTAACTCCAAATGGCATTCAGACTATTAAATCACTGAGTCATCTTGGGAAGTATTTGTTTGTGTAGTCTTTCAGGTTTAGTGATAAAGAATATTTTAGTCCAGGCACAAGAAACAAGAAAATCATGTGGAGCGCTCATTGATTTTATGTGACCCTCCTCCGTTGGCCCCCTCAAACACTCCCTCCACTGGCTGCCTGTGGCTGCCCATATCAAATTCAAACCTGTAATCCATACAAGGTGGCAAAGGGAGCTGAAAACCTCCCTGTGCCCTCAGGCCATAATCCAGTCTCACACTCTTACCAATGCTCTGCATCACTGCTTCGGGGTGTTTAGGTCTCACTTCCCTGCAGCAACCTGGCATTTGCAGTGACCACATGGTTTTCAATGAATAAAACAATGCTAAATCATTTATTATTTGATTGTTTTTGTGCAAATATCCAAATCTACTGGTCTGCTTTAAAAAGATCAGTATCTAAAATGCAGCATGTTAGGCAGTTTTAGTTAAAAGTATTGTTTTTTCCAAGTAGAAGATAGTTACAGATAGATAGTTTTAAATCTGTTAGAAATTAATTGGTCTTTTTAACCCTATGAATATCGTAGTTATACTTTATAGATAAAGACAAACTGTGCCCACTATCAAAAAGTACTAAATTAAAACAATTCTGTTTCAAACATCTTTTTGATTGCTGAGTGTACATGTAAAGTAAACTTTCCTTCAGACTCTAAATGCCATCAAAGACAGCATGATGCGCCCTGCTGTTATGAATTTTTTTTAAGATGAACTCTCAGACAAATATGGTTGTCTGCTTCATTTTTCAAAACTGCACTTGAAGGGGAAACAAACAGTTCCGAGCCAAATAACCTTTTTCTTACTCTGTGCCTATAATCATGCATCAGAAATAAACTGGCATTTCCAAGTAGCTTTTTAAATAAGGCAAAATGGCCCTGGCAAGCATACATCACTGTTAAAAGAGTATGTGCCAGAAAACCAAGCCTGTTCACTGAATCTGGCTTCGGCGCTGACCTACTGTATGACAAATCACAATATTGCCACAAGTGCTAAACACCCTCTCAGCAGGGGTGGTGGTGGCAGAGATACAGAGGTATTTTTTGGCCAACTGGCAGACTTGCGGAGAGTTGACCTCATGCAGCTTGCACCGCAGGGGACCAGTCTCACTGTCTGCTGGTGGAGTCTGTAAGGAGCTGTTTCGCTCAGCCTTAATTGCCCCTGTGACACATAGTCCTGAATTTGCTATCATTTTTTTTCTTTGTTGAAAGAGGTTCCGCAGACTTTCTGTTTCTCTTCATCTTATTTTTTGTATCTGCTACAGCAGCTTTAGGAGAATACCCAGAGGGAGCTGTGGCCCTATTCTCAGACAGCAGGGGTACTCACCCCTGACCCTGTGTACCCAATGTTGAATCATTAATCAAAACATTGGTGTGGCATGTATGAGTTCGTCCATCTCAGGCGTTGTTTATTCGTCATTATATAGTCCAGTATTGTCGTATTAATTTGTCATTTTCTCTGACGTTGTCTCCTGGGCTCAGTACTGTGGTGTCGTTGAACGAATGAAGCACAAGAATTGAGTGTGACACACTGAGGCCAGCAGTATACTCAGTGCGAAATCAAATTTGCACATTTCCAGACTGAATAAGGCGCTGCAAAATAAAACAGCACCCATATATTCACTGTGATTTGAGTCCTGTTTTTTTTAATAGCATCCTCGCCAGCTGCATGCCACTATGGGAGCAGACACGATGTGAAAGTTCCTTGAAATAAGAAGTAAACACAGAAAAAGTAAATCAAAAATAGCCTGCAGTCTGCAACAAATCCCATGACACCCTTGGCCAGTTGCAGGCGTGGGTATATGGTGTTTTACTTGAGCTCAGTTTTGCTTTAGCTTTATTGAAACTTTTTATATGTTTGACCTTCTGTCAGCTCCTTGATATAAGCCTTAATAAATATTTTTGTGATGTCATGATTTGAATGCACAGAAGTTATTATGCTCACAGTTAAAGTAAGCCAAACGCTCCATGGCCATATCTACTGTATAGATATCACAATACATAATATATGATGGATCTATAACCTTGTCAAGTGATTCAGTAAAGCCAGAGGATGATTTCCCAGACTAAGTCTGAGGCTCACGTACTTACTTATCCACTTCATTTCCTGAAACTGAAACTTAATTCTTCCTTGGAGCCACCCTCTGGCCTGTGTCATGCATTTATTAATATTTGGACAGATGCAGGGTGATGACTGGCTGACTAATGGAGGAATTGGTGGTAGTTTCAACACAGTCACATTATTTGGCAATAGTTTGTCCGTAATATAATAAGTCCATGACTTTAGTTGCTCTGATGCCAACAGAAAAATCAGTACTGTAAACTTGTGCCTTTTAAACAACCTGACCAATCCTGCAAAAGTAAAATACTTATTGGGAAATGCTGGATAGTTCAAAACCGTTTGCAGTTAAATCAGTGTAAAACTGTGGTTACATTGTTAAGCCCATCAGATACATGATCGTAATACTCACTGAAGAACCCAGACACAACTCTTAATTTAACCCTGAAATTTGACAAAGAGATCATGTTTTCATCAGCTCTTTTTCAAACCTAGAATCGACCACCTTTACTTTTACCTTACACTTAGATTATTACAATTCCATACATGTTTGGATCAGTCAAGTCTCTCTTTCTTGTTAACAGCTCATCTGTAATCTCAGGACAGGCTTCTGTCAGGCTCCAATAAAAAAGACAACATACACTGGTCTTAGTCTCACCACACTGCCTCCCTGTGAGGTTAATTGTTTTTAAAAATTTTGCTGTTTGTTTTGAGGGCCTTACATGGTTCAGCCTACGGGTTTACTCTGAGCGCTTGTGGTGCCACAATTCATCTAAATCCCTTTAGTCATTTAACTGGGGGTATTTGTTTGTGCCAAGATCATACAGGCGGTGATGCCTTTGCAGTAGTGGAATTCATTCTCCCTCATATTTGGTCATAGTCCTTCCTCTTTAATAAAACACTAAAGGATTACCTTTTCTCCTGGGCTTCTAACTGTATTGCCTTTTTTCATTTATTTGTGTAGACGTTACTCTTTTGTTAATCTTGTTTATTTCAGTCTGTTTACGCACTGCTACTAGGCAGTTGCAACACTTTCTGTGTTGTTTAAAGGCATTTAACAGATTTATTTAATTTGGCACCATATGGATGTGATAACATCTGCCTCAGACAGAGCAATGTACCTAATTCACTTCTAAATACATTTGTACATATCACTGGAAGGATTATTGCAACGATTTAGTATTCCCCATAGTTGGGGGACAGATTAAAAAAGAATAAAGGAAGAGTCAAAATTGGAGCCGCAGAGGATGATATATTCTGACTTTTAGTTGTTTTATGTTTCAAGCTCTAAAAATGCCTAACATTCCTATAATGCAACTTGACAATGTCTTTTATAAGGCCTTTTGGTAAGCATTTTTGTCGCAAGTGCTTATTACATGGGACATAGTTGTATAGCACCTCCATAGGAGAAGATTTTCAAATGTTTATTCCTAGATCACTTTATAATGGCGAGCACAATAACCGCTACCACTTAAGCTGCAGCACTTGCACACATTAACAATTATCTATGCATCTGGCTGCAGTCTTTGTATTTAGAGATTTTATCCACTGTGTGCCCGGCATTTCCTGGCAGGGAAGTAGTGTTGAATATGCCCCCTGCTGCATCAGATTTCCCAGTGGGAGCCAGGCATCATGATGTTAACTGCCAGACCTCCTGCTGCATTTCTGTCTACCCCAGAGTCTCCCTCCACGGGCTGAAGGAAAAGCACAAAAGTGATTAGCCAGCCACTGGAGGAGGAGGGGAGGGCTGTCTGAAACTGAATCTTAAAGAGGGAAAGAGAGCGAGACAGACGGACAGACAAACAGAGATAACATAATTCATAAAGACTGATTCATGGAGACAGTAAGGGAGTGGGGGGTCAAATTTATGTGACTGTCAAAGAGCAGATAAGTGGTTCAGAGGGAAGATGTGGGAAAAGAGAAGTAAATAGGGGATTAAAAAAACCTAGAAAGACAGGAAAAAGGACAAGACAGAGATAAAACCAGGGAGATATGGAGACCCAGTTAAATTATAGGTTATAGAAAGTGAAAATCAAAGACTATAAGCAATTACACAAAAGAAAAAGAAGAAATAATCTAAACTAACAAGCAAATTCGTTAGTGAGTTATTAAAAAAGTTGGAAGGAGATCACAAAGGTTTCTCGGAAGGCATGCTGTAGTAGAATGAGCAGAAAGCAAAAAAAAGGAAAACAAAAGAAAAAAACGTCATGTTAAAAATGGCGTTGAGAGTCAAAACAGTCCACTTCCCCTGTTTTACTGTAGTGAGCCGGCACAGCCTGCAGTCAGACTGGGTGGCAGGGAGACGCGACCACTTGTCGCTGCCTCAGACCGATTTCAATCTCCTCCAATGTTATGCCCCTCCCAAATAACAATCCATTTCTGACTGCCTTGCTTTTCCTCTGTTTGAATACAGAATGCAGTGCGAGAGAGCCTCACTAACGCTAACGTGTTCCTCTCCTCTGTTTGTTCCCAC